AGGCACTCTCCTGCTGACCTGTGTTCCTTCTCCAGGCTCTGGGCATCTATTGCTGCCACTGGCATCAAACTGGTAGGAGTGGGATGGATTGAGGTTCTCCTCACCCAGGAACTTTAAAGCCCTCTTCGCCAGCTTGGCAAGCCTATGACCAAAGATGTTCTTCCCCTTCTCTGACAGATGGACCCCGTCAGCCCCCAGTAGACCAGTTTCCTCAAAGCAAGTCCCATGGTCTAAGTAGCCGAACCCCTGGCTGTGGCACCAGTGCTGTAACCATTTTTTGATTCACCAGATTCGACTGGTGAATCAACAAGTTGATTCAAACTCCTTCCCTTTGACCTGGAGGACTGATGAAAAAAAAACTACCTCCAGACTCCGTTACCGCTGCTCCCAGGGCTCTGTAATCCTTCCTGATACTCCTCAGACTGCTCCTGGCTGTATGCCTGGCTGGTGCCCACATGAAACAACAGCAGCAGGTAACAGTCAGTGGACTGTACGAGGCCCTGTCTCTCGGTGACATCCCTGATACAAGCCCCGGGTAAGCACACATTCCCTTCTGTAGGCTACTGTTGCAGGCTGACAGAGCTTTATCAGCAGTAAGTACTTTCAGCCTATTGCAGGATCTAATGGAGAGAAGGACTCTTCTCAATTCACCCGTAGCTGGAAGCAGATTATGTGCCAACCAGCTAACCTCTGATCTGGCTAGTAACACCATGGGGGGAAGACTGAGATACTAAGGGGAAGGGAGAAGAGCAAAATTAAAGTAGTTTGGTTTTTTGGTTTTGTTTTGCTTTTTCACAGTCGGAGTAAAAAATTTTTGCTACCACGAAATACTTTAAGGGTTAAAATAAAGAGAAAATGCTTTTACTGAAGGAATATTGCTCTGACCAAGTCTTACTTTCTCGATTTGTGAAAGCAAATAAAGCATAAGCAGCAAATTTAAAAAAAAAAATCCCTCTCCCCAACAAGTTTATATTTGGGCCTCAAATGAAACAATCACTTCACATCTTTTATCATAGCTTTCTGATTACCTACCATTCCAATGCATTTTCTTAAGATACTCCAGATGCTGAAGTCATTTCTAGAAAACATCGGAGATGGCAAGCTTGTTCTGCAGAAAGGAACAGGGAAGAAAGTGGAAGTAAGAAAAGTTTTCCATTACTAACCATGACTAAGAAACCCAAATACTCTTTTTTGAAAGTAACAGTTTTCCAATTTTTAAATTAAAAACCAAGGGGGAACAACAGTGCTACTTGTTTTACCTGCATAGAAACCTCAATTTCTCCAAAAGCAGAACTAGAACCATTCCCTTCATTTTGCGTAAGAACAGTGGAAGAGAATTTCTACGTCAGTTATCAGAACAGTGTTTTCACAATGGCACCGTTAAGATATTTAGTTGAGTCTTTGTGAGAAAAAGTAAGTTCTTTCCGAGTAGGTACATAGGTACGTCCACTACATCTGAACAGATTTGAGGGTTAAACAGTGGGGGGTTTTTTTTGCTAGTCACCTGTATACTGACAATGAAGGGCCATGACATTTATTGCCTGTATTAAAATCAGCCCTCAGGAACAACAGAAAAAGCAGCATCATTAAAGAACAGAAAACATAGCAGCCTATTCTACAGGGTGCTGACGTATCCTGAAGCAAGTCTTAAACATGTTTTCAAGACCATTTAGTCTGTGTAATACAGCCTGTATTTCTCAGGTTTACAAGAAATCAGGTACAGATTTTGTTCAGTTTTCTTACTGCTGCTGACCAGCTCAATTATTACTCCAATTTACCTATAGAAAAGCATAAATATAGGTCAAAGCCCTTTGTCCACAGCAACACTAAAATTCGTATTTGGATCATGAACCTATTACCAATGAGAAAAATCCTCAATAGATAAGAAGTATCTACAGCTCACTCAAACTGCATAAACTATTTGAGTTTCAAAGTTTCCTTAACTCTGTCTAAATGATCATGTTGCCCTCCTAACCAAGAAGATCTTGTCTCCCCTCAAAGTAGCTAAAGCGATATCTTTTTAGAGAGTGTGGACAGGCTGTAGCTGCCTCCTCCACCCCACTTTTCTGATAAACAGAAACATTGCCAAGAGAAAAAATAAAATAAAATATCTATTCAGGTTAAGTTGTCAGTTTCAGTAGCCCTACCAGCTGTGTCACCTCACAGTTATCTGTTACTGAAACACCTTTACCAGGGTTGATGTTTCAGTTTTCAGAAAGAACAAAACCAAAAAATGCTCCTTAAAATACAACAAGCCCCATCCAATCAAAAACCTAGTCATACGCCTGAACTCCTTATGGTACCAAACTATGTTTTGTTAGCAAGTAGCAAACAGCCTAACTGATTTTACTCAGTTCCCACGCAGGGGATCAGTGGGTAGGAGGATTTATTTTAATTGACCAACATGATATCACTCACTCCCTATTCTGATTTTCTACTGATACAAAAATATTTCGTGAAACAGATAATCTTGAATATTATTAAGTATAAAATACTTCTGTGGGTGCTTTGATACAAATCTCCAGGAGAGGACAGTGTCCACCAAGTATTCAGTCTTATCTTTGTTTATAGTGTTCACTTTTCTGTGCATTCTTCAATGAAGGCAGTTAGCAGAGCGGGCATTTGTGTTTAAGTAAGCCCTTCCGCATGTAAAACACATTCTAGTTTGCTGAAGTATACACAGGGATTGCTTTCCTTACATAGCAAAACCTACATTTTCATTAAAGTTAACCTGTCCATCCATTAAATTTGTTTAACTACTTGAAAGTTGACATTCAGTTTCAGCCATTCATCCGTATTTCTTACATACATCAGCCAAACCTGATATGGGAGTCAGTTCTTTTCTCCATATAACACACACATACTGAAGAAACAAAGCAGTTTTAAGCCACCAAGAAAGATCCCAGGGACAAGTAAGGACATGTGGAAAAATGACAGGCAGCCAAGACGTGAGGCCTACTAACCTTGACACACTCCCTGTGATTACGGGAAAAGTTTGTGAATGCAAAAAATTTCCTTCCAGATGTCGATTTTAGAAACAACTCAGGAAGTTAATTTTAGCTTTAAGTGACAAAAACATCTGCTGGAATTTCTGTGCAGTAGAACAGATAAGATGCATTTAAGATCATTCACTTAAACAAAAACACTTGTTGGAAGCATTATCTATAGTAGATCAGCTACTACAGGAATCTTGTGGGGAAGAAGATATATTGTGTGAAAAAGGCACGTTTAGCTTGCTCTTCATGTAAACTTGATCAAATAACCTCCTGGCTCCCAAAAAGCCAAACACAAACATGTTTGCATTCTGAAAGGCCCCCAATGCGGGCACCAAAGGGAAAGCTGACTACAAAAACTCAGCAATAAGAGGGAAACAGCAGCGATAAAATGGATGTTAAATGTTGGCAGGTATTACAGAACATTTTTGTGCAAGGGTTGGTGTCCACTCTCAAATCAACCTAAACTACAAGAAGTCACATCACCCACATTCTTTCAAACACTCTATAAGCAATCAGTAGGATGCAAACTACATTTAAAAAATCAGAACAAGACAGAAGATTATTAAGTGGCACTGGCTTCACCTATCTATATACGTACATCTCAACACTTTTAATTCCTTGGAACTAACAGATTTATTCCTACATCTCCAAAACCACCGCCCCCCATCAAAAACCAACCTCCACCTCCCTGTGCAAAACACTCACCACTCAAATAAGGGAGGCAGATTAGAACTCAGGTTTCTAGATGTAAGTAAGAAATAGTCTTATTTATACTGACTGCTAAACAGTGTTAGGTACTCTCAACCCAAATGCAGCCGCAGATCCTCTATTCATCTGAGGAACTACAGGAAGGTATCAAGATTTTATGCAAAAGAAAATAATCCGGTCTATTCTAAGTGACTTGTTTCCATGTGGTTAACACAAATGGAAGTTAAACAAAAAAGTTATAGCAAACCCAAGGGTGTAAGGATGGAATTAAGTGCTGTCAAAACGTTCTGCCCCCCTCGCTTTGCACAGCATCAAGAAGTTAAGGTTTCTGCTCTGGAAAGTACACAGGTGGCATCACAGACGATGCATATTTGACCACATGCCCTCTAACGAGCCCCAAAACCAAAAGAGGCACAAACTGGAGCCAGCAGCTCCATGTAGGTAACAGTTCTGAAGTCAGAACTGCAATCAGACATGGCAAACAGATCCCGTACCAGGCCAAACATTGCTGCCACCAAGAGCCTCAGAAACAAGGCTAGAAACACCACACAACTCCCATCCCCTGAGAAGGTTCTCTTAGAGGTAAGATTTAGATTGGCTGAGCTCTGGGGAGAAACTGTTCGCATCAATATATTTGTGGACAAATCCCAATGTGTCACCAAGGTGCCAGGTAAAAAAGCTTGACATTATAGAGCACACTCTAGGTTGAGCTGTAGCCATTTAGTCACATAAAATATGACCACACATTCTCATCTATATGCAAAACAGATGTGTCCACTTTTCTTTAGCAGTAAATTATTAGCCAGCCAATTTATGCACTCATTTTACTCCAACATCCTATACTCTCTTTACTACTAAGAGACATGCAACTCAGAGAAACAACTTACGCAGAGGTACTTGTTTATTACTCTTCATTCCCCCTTATAAGACTAGCAGATCTTAAATGCTCCTCCAGTCACTTGCTCCCTACAGTTCTGACAACATACTGCAGCGTTACAGAAACTTGCCAAGTTATTTCTTTTCTATAGTAAACAGAAGATCAATTCCTGTTAAAACTCTTCAAGACAACGCATGTCTACATGCATCATCATTTTCATGTAGGTAATGAATTGCCTCCTTCCTCCTCATTGTTTCCAAGGCAATGAATGCAAGCCAGATGTCCACCCTCACCTAGTGCTTCCCCCCCACCCCTGAACTTCCTGCTCCAATTAGGAAAGGCTCTTAGCCAAGGCCATAAATACCACCCTTGCTAACAGCACAAGAGCACAGAGCAACATGCTTAGTCAGCTGCTTTATGATACCTTCCCAAACCACCCCGTTACTCCACCCAAGCCCTCATTTGCCTTACTCTTTGCCTAGTATGGGAGGGATATACACGCAGAGGTTGAACCTTGAAACATCAGATCTCTGACATTACCACATACTCCAACAGTCACTGCAATTTAACTATTTAAGATACTACCAAGTAATTAAAGCATATCTTGCTTGCTTCTCTAAAATTAAATACGAATTTCCTGTTTTTACAGAAATCTGGCGTCCCCGTCATCATTCTGCACATTCAAAACACTTCCAAAGTAGTCTTTTTGAAACACACTGAAGTCTGGCTTGATCTGTGGCACAAACATTACATTGCCCCTTCACTGAAACTCGAGAATAGTGGTGTCTATTACATCTCATTAACTCCAGACCTATTGTCCTCCTTTATCAGCAAGGAAACAAACAAAAATGGATCATTTGACAACACAAAATAAGCACATAAAACATAGATGAGACTTTTAGAATAATACTCCCTTTGTTCACATTTGAGTTTCTGATGCCAGGCTAGCAATATTTTTCATTCATTCCTGATACCAATAGAAGGATCAAATGACTGGAAATTAAAGAGGCAATAGGAGTCATAGGTCATTAAAGATACATGAAGGAATTAAAATCCACATAATTTCAATAAGATCTATTAAAAAAACCCAAGTGTGTCCATTTTTACATAGCACATTGTATTTTATTTTTACTTACTCGGATTTGATCACCAAAAAGCAAGATGCAAATGAGCATACTAGCCTTGGAAAAATATTCTTTATAAAATCATAGCACAATCAACTACTTGTCAATCATCCCTAACAAAAGTTTTAAAAGTTTTCACAGCTTTTCAGAGATTCCCGTGGTCTTCTACTCACCATTAATGCTTATTATAATACCTTAAGAACAGGCAACATCCTACCTGTGTTTTTTGATTCCGTTAGACAGCGACTCCCCACTGCCACAAACCTTTTCTTCAGGCATGCTTGAAGTTATCGTATCTTTTGAATCCATGCTGTCCTCTAACGAGTAGGCTGTTGTTGTTTCAAACCCACTTAATGATTTTTCAGATTCTGAATCTGCAAAAGAGCAGGTGCATGTCAATGAATCTACAGCCTGTGCTAGACTTCAGTCACTAACAGACCTTCCCTCTTTGTACAAAACTGAAACTTAAGTAGGCTACTGTGTCCTGATGACAGGATCCATTTGGTAAGTAACTAGTACTGCCACAGACCGCTGCAGCTCTGTATCTAGATATAGACTAAAGAGATTGCGAGATAAGCACGAACACAGTAGATTACAAAATTCTCTATCAAACAGAGCCAAAATCTGACATTTTTATTAAATTGAAGCTACTACAACTTGCTTAGGACAAGCGCCAGTATCATGTACATGCCAGTATCTTACTTAACTAAATACCAGTTACCTCAACAGTCAAGTATTGACTCCTCCTATACAAGATTCCAGTTTGGTCTAAATTCTTAGACACTCGGTGCTGTTCAGGAACCGTAACTTCCCAACTTACTGAACAAGTGTCAAAGAATAGAAGGAGGTATCGTATGCAGTGGATTACATTAGCCATGTAAGTCCCATCAAAGTCTAAATGATAAGCTCACCAAACAATAAGATAAACTTTGTACTCTGGAAGGTAGGTTAATAGTACAATCCACATCACACCTAAAACTAAAAACAACATCAACGACACCACCTTATTTCCAACCAGCGTTTTGGTCAGGTAATGCTTGACCAACTCTGGAGAAGAGACAGTCTTGCCCCAAATCACAAAGTAAAAATTTCCTGGCAAAAGGCTGTATTTTTGTTTCGTGTTTTTCTTTCAAACTTGACAAGATTGTCAAAAGATTATCCAGCTGCAAGTTCCAAGAAGCAAGGGAACAGCTCAAGACAAGTAAAGATGCACCAATTTCTATCCCATTTGGGAAATCATTTAACAGAAACCAGGTACAACACTGAATGGTAAACAGCTTAATGCAAGCCTCACCGCTTCCGAAAAAAGCGAACCCAAACTGTAGTACACACCATTCCTGCTTTTTCCTGCTAGGTACTTCCTTCAGCATATGCTACTGATCTTGGCTGCAAATACCCAGAGAAAAAATTGCAAGATTAGTCATTCTCTCACACACTGATTCTAATTCAAAACTAGTAATCAAAACCTGCTGAAGTAGTAGTCCATCAGAATATCTCAGTCACAGCTGTCCATTGCCAGGTGCTTTCTTGTTTTCTCTTAAAAAATGATGCCAGTAGCTTCTCCAGAACATGTAAATTATATGTTGCTTTGGTGAAGGGGACAGTGACAAGAGGACCTTCTACTACCTCCAGATTACAGAAGGGTCAAGAACAGGACAAAATCCTGATGAGTGAATAGGCTGTGCCACAATGTCTCCATCTTCTCTAGAGAGACAGTGAGATCTAGAAGCATAAAGGAGATCTTTGCTTTCATTAAAAGCATCCATCCCTATCCTCATCAAGACAGTACTGAAATTAAGCCAGTTGCTAGGGAATGAAGAGAACTGCCAGCTGGTGCTGAGGATATGTTAAAAAAGTGGACTGGCACTCCAGAGAATCTTCTCACAAGTTTCCCCAAATTTGTCAGTCTAGTTCTGTGCCAAATTATCATATAACATATCAAAGTATTAGTTTGGTGGGTACTATATATAACCAGTAGGATAAGTAGAAGCATTTTTACTTGTGGACAAGTGCAATACATAAAATACAGATTTCTCCAGAGATCATAAGCCCAGGTAGTCAGGAAAACACTGTTGTGTATGCAAATATCACAGAGGAAGACACACTCTAGCAGTGTAACGCAACTTGGGCCTCAGCATCCTGACCACATGACGAGCTATAAATCCCTTCAAGATAAGTATTCCACCTCTCTATTGAAAGAGCTGCTCAACTGTGCCAGCAGCTATCATGACAAAAAAGGCATGAAGCAAACCCTGTAACATAAAGCAAAGAGGCTGCCTCCTGTAAGGCTCCTTTCTTCTTCTGTACCATCCTGGACTGTCTTGTTTTCAGACAAGACTCACAACACATAATTCCCTCAATTTGAGTTTCTGCAACAGACCTAGGACTCCAGAGGCGGGAAGGGAAGAACAGGCAAGCTTCACCAGAACTGCTGACCACTCTCTGATACGCTTCTCAGTATAACAAGGATTTTTCAACACTACCCATAATCAGTTCTCCTAATGCTGGTCTTACAGTGCCGAGAGACAATTATGCTGGACTGAGCTCAGCACCTGCAAACCTCTCCAAGAGCTGTAGACACTGACCAGCCAGCCTCCTCCAGGGCACGTGTCTTAATACAACAAGAGCATGCTAGACAATGAAGAGCAGTAGAAGAATGAAACAAGACACTGTTGTGAGAAATTGCTCTCTAGAGACATCTCTCCCATTTTTCTGAGAAACGGCTCTCATTGAGAAAGTATGTCTACAACAGCTCCTGCCAAAGATATCAATCTCCAATCCCTAAACCTCAGCTACCTCCTTTGACACAATGAGCTTAACAAGCTGTGAGAGTTTGTTAGGTGTCAGAGTGAACAAGCCTAGTATTATATTGCGAGCACAGATCAATAGGCAACTCAAACTGAGCTTTTCCCTGTGTACTTGCAGCTAACCCTTTTCTGAATTAAGATTTGCATACTCCCCCGTCACTGCAAAAAAAGACTTATATTCACAAGTTGCTACAGAGCAGCTGTCAAACAGATGACTAGGAGAAAATGAGATTTTTTTTTTCTATTGAACTTAAGGGGGTGTGGGCTGAGGAGGGGGGAGAAGGAATAAGAGTCCCTGTTCAGAAGCCAAAATTTTTAAGTGATCTTTGAGACAAGACTAGGCTGACTAGGAAGCACTCCAGCTCATGAAACTGAAGTGTCAGGCTAACAGTAGAAACACCAGCTACATTTTGCAAGAGTGGGAGAGCAAGGGGAAACAGCAGAAGCAATGACAGAAACTTAACTCAAGGGAAGTTCATCTCCTATTGCAACAACTGGTAAGTCTTCAGTTCCAGACAGAAAAGTTTGGCCAATGTATTTGATTAATAAATACACCTGAGAAAGGTAGTGTTTAACCACTGGCAAGGTTGGGTTTTAATTCTGACCAGGTGTTTCCCGTCCCTCTCTGAGATACTTAAATTTATTCTTTTAACTATACTCAAGGCAAGAAGTCCACAGGCAGCAGTGCTCTCGCAGAGGTTGTGGAGTATTTTTGGTATGCGTTCAAAAAAAAAAGCCACTTGACAAACTACCCTAAATGTGGAAGGAAAGGCAGTAAGTTTCTATGCTTTTCGTACAATTTTTACTTTTAAGTGAGCTGATAACTGGAGACAAACTAGGAAGTGAGCAAAAGCGACAGAACTAGTCTATTACTTCTTGTACCATTTAGGAGCATTATTTATAAACACAGCGCCCATTAGTGGTACATAACAGTTCAAGCTGTACTATGACAGGTTAGCTTTAGTATAATCTAAATATTCCTGTAGCTAAATAACTGCTTTTATAGTAAGATTGCATCTATGTAATACCATCAATACCCCCCTCAACACACACAAAAGCTGTGTTTGCAGAAAACCCCCACCTCTCAGATAAAACCTGTTAAAGAGAAAAATCAGGACAGTTCTAAGCTCTTCCCAAATTGGGTGTGTAATTTACATATAATCAGGGAATCTTATCTGCAAGGCAAAAATCAAGTACCTTCACCCTTCAATTCTTGACCTGCTTAGCCATTTTTTGGCATTGTGGATGGACTCTGAATTTGTATTCCGTTCTCATATGCTTCCTGAGGTCTGTGTACTTAACCAAAGCTAGTAAGTTCTCCAGCTCTCTAGGAGATGCCATCGGTCTTAGTAAATTTTGCTACTTGTTTAGTGCTTCTTCCCTTCCCCAATGCCCCCTGCCTCCGCCCCACCCCGCTTTAAACATAGAAGAAGAGTTTGACACGTTAAGCATTCAGTCCTGAAACCGAGAGCTCCGGCACTCCACATGCTATCGAGTTTAATTACACATTTCCACCACGCCCATGATGAGACACCGGGAAGACTGTTAACTGCCCTATGGCTGTCAGAGTTCAGATTAATAATACCCTTAACTTTGCCGTTCTTAACACTGGATACCATGCTTCGGTAACACAAGTAACTCCCATTTCCTGTAGGTTCTTCCTTTCACGTTCAGTGTCTACTGCTCTCCCATTGCAGGGATTTATGAGTCACCGCAACAGTCAGAAAGCATTGATAACAGCATACCACTTAAAAATAAAAAGAGGAGAGACTTCAGCAAATAAACTACCACTTCAGTAAGCAATCTTACCATATTAAAAACATCTTCCTCACCCCAGTTTTGGAAAAGAAAGAGGATATTTCTGTAATTGCACCCACAATTTCTACAAACAGAACTACACAACACAGACTTATCAGTGACCAATTTAGTCTATGCCAACATTAGCAGGTAGCATGGCTCAGATGGAGCAGATTTGCAAGCCAAACAGATGGTGCTGAGGACTTGACGTTTGAACTAGATACATTCCTGGTGGTGTTCTCTTCAGATTAGCTCTACTCTCCTACCGTGGACTGAGTGTCCAATAGCAACCAGACTGTATCTTCTGATTCAGCTTCATTCAGGAGTCTGGTTCATGCAATCAGATTGCTCTACAGTGTGAATCAGAGCATGGTAAATGGGGACAGGTAGCTGCTGTTGTAAACATGCTTTCTAATACACTTCTTGTTCAAAAACCTGTTTGAAAAGTCTTGCATTGCTCTGAATTGTCACAGCTAGTGATACTTCCATTGAGAGTAAACAAGCAGAAGTGTCTAATACGCAGACAATATTCTTTTAAAAAACAAAACAAAAAGCAGCAGTGGCTTCTTCTTTCAACCTGTCAAGTCAAAGCTAACGATTCTTCAGCTCGAAGTGCAAGCCTAGTTATGCAATACTCTCACTTCTAAACTCACTCCTATGGTGGAGATTTAAAAATTCAGAGAACTGTAACTAGGAAAAAGATAGTATCCTAATAGAAAAAATACTCTCAAAGTAGTGGCATTTTTCCAATGACAGACATTATAACTTGTCACATCACTGTTAAAATACATCGGTGTTTGCTCAATCTCCTATACAGCCTAGTAAGATAATTCATGAATATCTATTTATCCAAAATCAATACCATTTAACTTAATAAAATACTATCAGACTGCAAATCAGGTTTAGCAAAAGCTTTGAAGACAAAGTCCTAGTAGTTTAGATTTCTGGAGATACAAATTTTTAGCTTCTGACAATTAGGCCTAGTCACTGCTCTCTGTTATGAAAACATTTATGATCATATCCCCTGTCTTGTTAGCCCAAAGAAAGAAGACCCACATTCCCAAACTGAGCCAGTGTTGTATATCCCCAGCTCCTCTGCTCTCACTGTATTCCTGTCATACAGAGACAAGAAGCCTTCTAGTTGAGATTCCACAGACATGGCAGAAAAGCAAGAGGGTTAGAAAGTATTACCAGGATCCCAGTGATTAGCAAAAAACCCCACCCCAAACCACACCCACAAAAAACTAATTCCTTTTGTGCTTACAGTGAAAGTCATAACATGCATCCAGCTGTCAGGAAAATGTGTGACATTTCCCTTTCACTAGACCCCTCCCCAAAAAAATATCAGACTGCTCTTCCCCCAAACACGTGCCTCCAGAGACAGAGAGGACCCTAATCACTGCAAAGCACTGAATGTGAACAACCTAGAGAAGAGAATCTAACACAAGTCTGATGAAGTTGAAAGTCAAGAAAGTGAGTCTGTCCTGGAAAATTATTTAAATTGCAATCAAGATGAATTATGTCAAGTAACTTCACCCAAAGGAGAGAGAATTGACATATATGTTTTTATATGTGTGTACAGTTATGTATGCGTGTGTGTATATATATATACACGCTCAGCAAGTTTCACAGTTATACAAATCCACTCGATGTGATTTGTTTGCAGCTTCAAGTGACAAAACCACCATCCCTCCCAGCTAGAGAGGACGCTTTGGACACTTTTGTTCAAGAAGATTTAGAGATTGCGTTAGTTATGGGATGTATAGACTAACAGCTCTTTAAAGCTGAGTATTCTCTCACATAGGCGAAGCGAGCCTGGCTGGAGAGACTACATTCCAGTAGCACCAGATAAACAACTATTCTCTGCTTTGTTGTGACAAGCAAAAGAGCCTGAGGCCTTTCAGCAGAATTGTTCTTTTAGCTCTGGTTGAAGAACCTGTTTCTAGTGTTCCTCAATCTCTTCTCCTTGAAGGCTCGATAAATTTCTTACTGTGCCAAGCAGCAAAGTCTGCTGTTGATCCGCGGTGTTCCTGTGCTAGTGCTATACTTGAGCATAGACTCCACTCTGCCTGTTTTTATTCTCTGCTTAAGTTGCGCACTGCAGAACGCCTATCAAGGAGTCTGGGAACACTGGTTTTCTCATCTGTCAGAAGCATCAGACAGTTCAGCTCGCAGAAAAAGTAACCCCATACTCGCTCATGAAGTATACCATCACAACCTAATTATCTGCTACAGTTCGACTATGCTCACCCTCAAGCTTTTCCAGATCCTTCATATTTGTAGACAGCTGTGCACTGCAGGATCACCCAGTTAGAGCTATTATTGAGCTGCACTATGTACAGCCTCTCTATACAAATGCATGTTGTAATCATCTTATGCTGTTGAGAGTTCTCCAAAATCACTATTTGCATGTTCTGCACATGAAAATATGAAAGATACTAAGCTGAAGGCAGACAGGGAAAGAAAAGATATTTCAGAAATGCACGCAGGATTTTGATTCATCCTTTACTTCCACCTGTGACACTGAAGGTATACAAAAGTAAAATAGAACAAGCCTTTCTTAACCTCATTATCCCTCAAAACTAGGGATTTTTATGGACTGATCTTAACAACAAAACAAATGAAAAAACTATATACCACCATGGAAAAAGCAAGTCAGAAGGCTACCAGATACAGTTACATCTCCTAAAATAGGAGTCTTAAGTTTTGCTATTTTAAAAAAGGGCGTAGACACCCAGGCAATCAGACCTTTCATGACTGCCCTGTGGTTTTGTAACTTTTTGTCATGCTAAGGTGAAACAATACAATTCTACAGGTGAACTCAGGCAAATTTTTAGAGGCCCGCTCATAAAACACATGAAGCACTCTCCTAAAATTAGTGCCACGTTAGAAAGGCAGAGATTTCACTTAAAGTGAGGCCGTTCCCACCCCCTCATCCCCCCCAACACATTCACCACACACGTGCTGGCTACACACTCACATTCTGGACATCATTACTTACCTGAAACAGCATCATAGAACTGCTCTTCACTGATGATGCTAAGAGGTGGAGATCCCTTAACCAGGGACTGCTCTAGTTCATGGTGTTCAGTAGCTAGCGTCTCTAATGCTTCTGACAAGATCTTGTTTTTCTCCTGCTCATGCTCCAGTTTCAAATTCCTCACCTATAAGTAGATACATGTATGAATAAAATCTCACCTCTCCGAAGAATGTGTAGCTGGAAGCTAATCAGAAAATAGACTCTAATAAATAAATAACTGACAAACAGCTGGAACTGAAACCACATGGATTAATGAGAATATTACAGTATTTTTGTGATGACAATGAGGTTGTTACTCAGCATTTTCAGTAGTTGAGAAATCTGACAAATAAGATCTGACAGTATAAACCACAATTCCACAAGTGAATTCGAGCCAGATAACTATACCTTAAAACTGAGGGGAAATACTTACAACTCTGCTTGGATGACCTTAACTATGGAGTTAGTGATCAGTTTCTACATGCACCAAGCTCCTTGTACTAGTCTGCTCTAATTTGGGCCAAGCAGCATCATCTAAATTGAATTACAGAGCAAATGTGAATGTCAGCTACAAATAACTGCAACTGAAGTATGAGCTGAAAACATTTAACCCTGAGGATTACAGAAGGAGGTTAAAAAAGATTCCTCTACTAACTGATTTAACATCGATATAAACAGCCCTCCCTCCCCACTCCCAAAACAGTTTACAGATGAGCTAGAAGCTAACAAAAAAAAAAAAAGAAGCCCAGCCACCAGATGGTGGACCTTTTTTTTAAGCCCACACATGCAATCAGCTCCAGAGAGGATGATGTTATCCACGTTTTGAGTCCAGGACTAGTAACAGGAGAGCAACATGTCCTTCCTATTTCCTCCTTGGTTTTTTGCTGGTGCTTTCCCGCCTCCTCTTTCTGCCAGGGGAGGGGAGAGGGCTGTAGCTGAAGGCTCAGGAAGGGCCTCTTCTCCCAGCCCAGCAAGGCTTCAATGTGCGGCTTCTCCTTCAGTCCCTAAACCCTTGACTCTTTTCCTTTCTCCCTTCCAGTCCCTTTTTAAAAGCATCCCCAACCCCTGCCTTGTCCTCTAGTTTACTCTCAAAGGTCAGTTTACAACGCTAATTCCCCCTCCACTAAGAACATGACAATTAATCTCTTGGAACAGTTACAGGGACAACTTACACACTTTCCTAAGCAACTTACACATATACCAACATTACCTTTTTGTATCTAATTTAAGAACTGTTCACGTGTCCCATCTGCTTACATGTTACATTAAAACTTTATTTTGGAGGCTTCAGCCCCCTCAGTTATAACAACCACTCTAATAGTGGATTCAGAGTCGGGCACAAATGAGAGGGTGCAAATTTAGAGGCTAGAAAGGAGATATTAAAACAGATTTGCCACTTCCAGAGAAGAGTTTGTATGCTGGCAGTAACATATCCTCTGCAGGTAGATTTATGGAAGGAATTTTCACCCCCTAGCTGTGCCTAATACTAAATCAACTGGTTTGGATGCCAGGCTCTGAGAGTAAAGGGGCAATCCAATTAAACGATAATTAAAAAAGTATAAAATTGGGTTGCTAATTGAAAGCAATAAAACCACTAAGTCACTTACTGTCTAATAGTTTTACCCTGAACAAAATGAAAGAAGTCTGGACTAGTTATTGTCACTTTCATTTAAAGTTCACTCTGACAGTATCAACGAAGCCCATTATTGCAATGTTTCATACAAATCGGACATGCCACTGCAAAAGATCTGTTATTAAGCAGTTTCTGCAAGGGTTACATTTTGTACACTATCAAACAGTTAAGGAACTGCCCATTTAGAGAAACAGCATCGGTATTTCACTCTCCTGAGAGAGGGAGGGTGGAGGACTGAAGATATAATGGTATTTTTCATTCTTATTAAACAGCAAAGTAAAACCAGTTACCAAAATGGTATTTGCAATTTTTTTTTGCAGTATTGAACTAGATGCCTTTATGCTCTAATGTTTTGTTTTGATAAATAATTTGAGTGATTTAAATCTTTACCTAAAACTTAAGTTTCAGTGTTATTTAACAGCAAATTGAAAGAAAATAAAAATATATCTGACAAAACCCAGATGAACTTTTTTTTGCATCCTCTAAAAGCACGGTAGTGTGACTAAACAAGCAACAACAGATATAGGCTTAAGACATCATGCCTCCCCCAAAAGAGTATTTTATTGACTTTAAGGTTCCTCTGCCCTATCATAACACAGAGCTATTCAGAATTGCAGAAGGTGTACTAGAAATAAATTCCCTTTTTGGAAAATAAATAGCCAGCTTTACAGTAAGGTTCACTTTTCTGTGTACTTCCAGGCTTCCTAGCTGCCAAACCCCTACTAGTACAGCAATTACACATTACGAGCATGCAGCAAAAAGCAGCTTTTCATCTGGTACATAAGCAGCACAACGCTAGCCAGAAGCTAAGGAAAAAAGAAAACATGTTTAAGTCTGTTGCTTGTAACCTTTGGGATGTTCATTCACATCTGAATGAACTGGTTTTAAAGCAACCTTAATTCAGTACTTGGGGACTGAAGATGAAAGTCCAATATAAAACTTCTGTCAACAGTACTGAGCTTGTGGGATGGACACACACATTCAGAGAGCCGAGAGGTGGCTCTACAAACCTCTACAGCCTAGTACTCAGTGAAGGGTAAGAGTTTACACCAGCAGCTCTTTGAAGGTAGTGGTCTGGAAATACTGTCTGTAACTATACTGCGTCCTTAAGCACCAAAACAGTTCTATGGTGTCAATATGAGAACTAATAAAAAAAAAAAGTTCTACTACCATTATTTGACTGATTTGACCTGTAGAAAAGCAATGCTTGCAGAGATAGAGCTAGTACAACCTTCATGTACTCTACTTAAAAATACACGTATCACTGGAGAAATAACCTTGTTTGAAATAAGCATTCTGTTTGTTTTTTAAACACAAAGCAGCTTTAAGCAATATCACCATTTTGTCACCTTGTCTTTTATTATTGACGAGATACATCTCCTAAAACCTTCTTGCACTAATTTGACTGTAAAGGCAGGATGTTTTTTTTCCAGAACCACACACTCCATTCTTCAAAGCTTAACAAGAAATATGCAGGCAGATTGGCACTATTTTCAAAGCATAAGTTTATTGAACAACATAACTGACCAACTAAGTGACAGGTTTTCCCAAAAGGAAAGTAGTATATTGCTGTTATGCATAATTTTGCCACACTATTTTTCATTCACAAGACTTGGCCAACAATTAAGTTCTGAGGTGAATTATTCCATCTTCCTGGCGACTCCACCACCATTTTTGGAGATGACACTTCAGCTTTATCCCTTTTCCCCAAAGTTTTTTCTTCCCCATCCTATCTTTCTTCAGTGTCCCGACACAAAACCGAAAGATTACAGGAACCTCCAGCCTAGTTTTAAAAATGCTTATTAACACAAAACCTTTAGGATCTATGCATAAAGCAGGAAGACGAGAATAAAACAAAGAAAACACCCACTTTCAGAAGCATACGCATTTCAGTCTATTAAACTGGACATAGACCAACTTTTTTCAGAGGAATATCATCCAAGTACCACACTATTTTACACAGTGATGCAAATATTTATATAAGGTAGTAAATACCACACCAAAATGATGCAGGTATCAATGTATACACAGCTCTGGAAATCCAGTCTGAGCATACCCAGGAAAATATCAGAAGAGGCATTTTATTGACAGCCTGCGTAAGGCACAGCTTGTGATACAGCCGTGGTTTCTGCACCTTTAGTAGTGGTGCCTGAGCTGAGAAAGAGACAGATGGCAATTCACATCATACCGGGTTCAGCTCCTCATCCTCCAGCTATGGAACGGCTGTCATCTTTTTGATCCCTGTCGCTGGTCCCCGCAATGCCAGTGCCACCATCAGCGTTATAAGCTTTCCACTGAGCTTCACAGGGACAGCGGCACAGAGCGCTCTAGCGAGCCCGGCATGAGGCCAGCTGAGTTCCCAACATTCAACTGGTCAGGCTTCCTACCTTACCCTTGTCAGGAGCTATACTGCACAAGAGCAATTACAGTTATCAATAAAGTTGGGCTTGTGCTTGCACTGTTACACAATGACAGTTAAGATCAGTCTTGTTTTCATCTCTAGAAAGAATATTATTATAGTGATACTTCAGATTTATAATTGCTGATGGAAACCATCTAGCTTTGTCTCACAGAAGTAAACAATCACTCAATCATTAACTTTACAGCTATAGACACAGCTATAACCTGATACACTGACACAGAACCACCAAGACTTCAGCATCTAGGTCAGTGCAATTTTTTTTTTTTTTAAATACTTCTCCAGCTGAAGAGGTTTGATATCCAAGTTCTGGTAACCAGTTTTACTTCTCATTTAACTGAATAGGTATCTGCTTCCAACAGCTTCCCATAAGTATTTGAGTCCTTCAGGCTGTAAGCACTGAATTGTGAGTTTAAATACTAGAATTGAGTTATTTTAGCACAGACCTCTATTTATTTTATTTTTTAAAAGGAAAGCAACAAGCTATTTGCAGACACTTCTATTGTCTTTCCATGCTATTAGAAATCCTGCTAAGCGCAAGAGCATGGTTTAAAAGTTAACTCCTTCACTGTGTATTACTAGCAGAAAGTTCACATGCCTATTCCAAAATATCGAAAAGCTTATCTGTGTGTAACAAACACCAGTCCCATTCCTTTCTGTACCCTCAGCTTCCATGAGGTAGGTGGGAGACTAGTAACATGCACCAAACCACTATTTTTTTTTTCTTTTTTTTCTTTTTTAAAGCCTGAAGTCTTGAACTATATCGGCGCAGCCTGTAACCAAGGCTTCTCTGTCATCTTGAAGACATCTCAGTACAATACACAAAATACTTGCTTTGTTTGGGGCTGGATGCTTTTAATTTAAATTAATGCCCAACAACAGGGGCACTTTTGTGGAGGAGGAAAGGGTCACACCACTGTATGCCCAGCTAATAAATGATTATCTCAGCAACATGCTATTGCAGCTGCGAGTAAATCCTAAAAAACAACACACAACAAGCAAGGCATAGAACAAACACCTCAACAATATGTAGGACTACCTGCCTTTAACATTAGAATAGTAAATTAAAAGACAGCATACCTTAACTCTAGGT